TTTTATTTATTTATTTATTATAATTTTTTTTTTTTTTTTTGCTTTCTAAAAATAAAATTCATTTTTCTTATTTCTAAAATTAGGAAACATTTACAACCAATATTTCAATCTATAGCAGCCAAGGCTGATAACGAACCATGTTGTGATTGGGTTGGTGAATCTGGTGCAGGTCATTATGTTAAAATGGTTCATAATGGTATCGAGTATGGTGATATGCAACTTATTTGTGAAGCATATCATTTGATGAAGGAAGGAATTGGTCTCACAAATGATCAAATTGGCGATGTGTTTGAGGAGTGGAATAAAGGTGAATTGGATTCATTTTTGATTGAAATCACTAAAGATATTGTCAGATATAAAGATAACGACGGTATTCCTCTAGTGGAGAAAATTAGAGACACTGCAGGCCAAGTATGAAATCATTCTTTATTCATACATTTATACACACATTCACACGCACACACATAATTTAACATAAAATTTTTCTTTTGGAAACTATACAGAAAGGTACCGGAAAATGGACAGCAATAAATGCACTTGATCTTGGAATGCCGCTTACACTCATAGGTGAAGCTGTATTTGCTCGCACACTTTCATCTTTGAAGAGTGAACGTGTACGTGCGAGCACAATTTTAAAAGGACCTCAAAATGTTACTTTCTCTGGTAATAAAAAAGATTTTATCAAACAAATAGGTCAAGCTTTATATGCTTCCAAATTGATTTCATATGCTCAAGGATTTATGCTTATGCGTGAAGCTGCAAAAGAATATAAGTGGGATTTAAATTATGCTGGTATTGCTTTGATGTGGCGTGGTGGTTGTATCATTCGTAGGTTAGTTACTTGATTTTTTTTTTCAAAAATACAAGAGTCAGCAGTTACTAAAATAAGCCTATTTCATAGTGCTTTCTTGGGCGATATTAAAAACGCATACATCAATAATCCACATCTTGAAAATCTTCTTTTTGATCCATTCTTTAAGAATGCTATTGAAAGCGCACAAAGTTCATGGCGTAAAGTCATTTCAGAAGCTGTTTTAATTGGCATTCCTACTCCTGCATTCGCATCGGCTCTTTCATTTTATGATGGTTATAGACATGAAAAATTACCTGCTGGTCTACTTCAAGGAATGCGAGATTATTTTGGGTTTGTATATATAGTCATTAATTAAACCTTTTTTTCGTTTGAAAAAAAAATTTTTTTTTTTCAATAGTTAATGATTATGATTTTTTTGGGGTGAATTCAATTAGTGCACATACCTTCAGATATCTTGATGAATACACTGATGAAAAACATCCTAAAGATAAAGATGTTCACGTTAATTGGACTGGTCATGGTGGAAACGTTAGCGCTTCCTCTTATCTTGCCTAATAATCAATCTTAATTTTTTGTGTAAAATTAATTTATTATTTATTTATTTTATGTTGTATAGTTTTTTTTCATAAATATCATAAATATTTAAATGTAAGCAACATTAAGACAATTTTCGAAAAATAAATCAACAGATTAATATAATAAACAAACAAACAATAAATAAATAAAAAGTATATTTATTTATTAAATTTTTACCATGCAGCTTTAGAACCTCCAGGCATAAGAGATGGACCATAACGAGCACCATCTTCACCACCGGATACACCGCAACCAACAAACAATAATCCCTTTTCTTCTAAATATTTACATCTACGAATACTATCAGGATAATGAGAATTACCACCGTCAATAATAATATCATTTTCTTCAAGATAAGGAAGTAATTGGTCAATAAAATCATCAACAGCTTGACCAGCTTTAACCAAAAGCATGATTTTTCTTGGCTTCTTTAGCTTCTGAGCAAGTTCTTTAATTGAGCGAGCACCAACAACATTTTTTCCTAAATCACATACACATTATAAAATAGATTGATTTTTTTGATTGATTGATTAATTGATTGTAATATAATTAATGATGGATGGATGGATACCTTTAGCTTCATTTTCTAAGAAATGATCTACTTTTTCAACAGTTCTGTTGTACGCAACAACTGTGAATCCGTTGTCAGCTATGTTAAGAATAAGGTTTTGGCCCTTGTGAAAAAAATATATATATACATACATAATTAATTAATTTGATCAAGTGAATACGAAAAGATGATTTGATATTTTTTTAAAAAAGAAAATATTTTACCATAACTGCAAGACCAATAAGACCAAAGTCACCTCTATCATTAAATAATTTCATTAAAGATAAATAATCAATCAATCAATTATAATTAATCATCAAGAAGATACTATTACTTACACAGTCATTTTGTCGATTGAATTTTGTCACGTAAAAAAATATTTTAAAGAAGAAAAAACGATTTTTTATTTAAAGATTTTTTTTTTCTTGGAAATTTGAGAAAAAAGTAGACTTATAAAAGAAAATGATTTGTTTTAATCGTAGCTTAATATAACCTAAATAGGTTGAATAATTAATATTGCAAGAGATATCGATATCAATAGTAATCAAACACTAATACACGTGTAACAAATTAAATCAATCTAATCCTTGACCCATTAGATTAATTAATTAAAAAGTTTCATTGATGTTTCATGCTAAACATAAAAAAATTATTGGACTAAATAATCACATTAATAAAATTTATATTTACTATATTAATCATTATCATCTCTATCAATATATGCGTATTTAATTCGATTC